GGAAAAAATTATTTTTTTAAACTATATTTTCAGTTTTAGTTTTTTCATCTTTCGATTTACACGTTCGAAATTTTACAAGTTCCAAAGTAATGAGTTCAGAGGTTTATGTGTTTGGAAGTTTACGGATTCGAAAGTTTAGCAGTTCGGAAATTTATGAAATTTGTGGATTCAAGGTTGTTGGTTCGAAAGTTTATGGCTTCATGTTTATTGTATCTAAATTATTTATGAATATTTTTGAGAAGTTATTTTCCTTAATTTGCGTACCAAACACCGGAAAATGAAAATATTTTCCGTTATACCAAACACACCCAATGTTCTATTCCATTTACAAATTTCTAAAATGGCTAAATTTGTGTAAACTAGTGAAAGAAAAATGTTCTAATAGCATATATTCCCAGATTCCGAATCTTAGCTCATTCACTCCTTATAAGATATTCCTTTTTTTTTTTCGGATCAAAAGGATTGAAAATCTTTAAAATAAGCTTTTAAAAATTCTGTAGATGCTTCTTCCTGCAGTCTTGGGGGTACATAATGATATTAATTATCAAAAGAAGAAATTAAGACAATGAAAACTGAAATTCATTGAACTTCCAAAATTAAAGTGAAAAAGAAACTAAGCGTCAGATACTCCTATTATTCCGAGATATGTAGAAGAACAAAAGTCCTAACGTGTGACAAATGAAAAGGCTCTTGAGTATTAATTAATACGACTCAAAAACTTCTTTAGTAGGAGTTGAAACTCTTCTATATATATAATGCTTGATCTTATATATATGAACATAAAAAATACTACAAGATCTTCCAACTATTCCAATTCAGATATTATTAAGAGAATATGAATATGATCAAAGTTGGCCCAGCGGGAAAACGTGGTGGATACATTTGGGACGAAAAGGGACGTGACCAAATTGCTGGAATTTTTATTTCCTACCACGAAGGAATAGTTTTTTCACTTCAGTTCGTGTTCTATGAGAATGGCGACTTAATTATGTCTGAAAAATATGGTAGAAGATCATATAACCAGCGCGAAGATTACTGTGCAGTTGTCTTGGATTATCCATCAGAATTTCTTACTTCGATCAGTGGTTCCTTCGAACAAATGAATAAAAAGCGTACAGTTTTGAGTTCAATTAAATTTGGTACAAATAAAGGTTCTTATGGACCATTTGGTACACCTTCTACTGAAAATATGGATAAGACTGACTTCTTCAACTTTCAGATAGGAAATTATCGTCTTTTTGGTGGTTTTTATGGAAGTCAGAATGAAGATAGTATTGACAGTATTGGTTTCTATGTCAAAGGCATCCCATCCTCCATTATCAATTTGAAAGATTCTACAGTGAATGTTAAAAAGGAAAAACATGAAGAAGATTAACTATGCTATAGTTCGTATTGTTTACTCATTTGGTTTTCTGTTTACGTAATAGAGCATCTGATTGGTGTTTGGTTATTATGTACGCTTTATTTCCTATATCCAGTTTTGTTATTACAAAGAAGAAGAAAAAAAGGAGTAATGTACGATGTCTTTAATTTTATCACAATTTATTCCAGCAATTCACTTTTTTTAATTCTTGGTAGTATTTATTTCACCCATCATAATTGGGTGTTAATTCGGGCCGGTCTGGCCCTTTCACAACCCGGATCCACCCGGTTCAGTCCGGGTTAGCCCGATACTGTAGCGTTTGGGGGCGGGCTAGGACGGGTTGAGCGGGGAGCGGGTTTTAGATGAAAAGTTTCTGGATAACGGTGCACCGGAACCTGCTAAGCCTGATAACCCATTAACGGGTTTTTAATGGGCTACAGCCCGGTTTCCGTTAGATTTTTTTTTTAAACTTTCTGGACCGTTGCAAACGGTCAAATTCAAAAATGATCGTTGGCCAACGACCCTTTTTTGCAGAAATGGCCATTTTGGCCTGGCCCCTTAAGAAAATAGCC